TTCGCCAGTGCCCCCAAACAGGCATATAAGGGCAAGGTGGCTGTATACCAAGCATGGCGATGTCAAGGTCCGCTGGGGCCATACCAGCGAGGTCGTCGAATGCCCCAACGTGTTCTTCCGCCAATTGGGCAGGGCGGGACTCCCTGGCGGGGACGGCCACTCCCAGTCGGTCACTCCGAGCCCGCATTGTGCTCGCAGGGTGTCTTTGCATTCGTCTGATTATGGTGAGATGGCGCAAAATTCAAGCTGACATGTCATTCGCGAGTGGCTTAGGATGCACAGTTTTGTCCCAGTGGTATCCTCTTGGACTTCTTGTGCCTTCATGCCGCAGGCTTGAATGCCGTTGGCTGATGTGCCGTGAATGGGCTCATGATTTTGGCACTTCTGCGCGTTGGCCAGAGAATGACCAGGAGCAGTCGAAGCTTGAGGCTTGCTCAGGCCATGCCGCGCTTGCATGGCCACACACATTTCAGGAGGCTTCTCCTCGTCCTCCCTGTCCTTCTCTCCCTCGTCGTTCTCCCTTCTCGTCCTCTTCCTCCTCCTCCTCTTCCGCCTCCTCCCGTCCTGCCCTTTTTACGAACGCTGGCCCCGAAACACGAGGGGGGTGGCGAGGACGAGGGCGAGGACGACGGAGGCGAGGGCGGCGGCGGTGGCGGCGGCGGTGGCGGCGGCGGTGGCGGCGAAGACGACGCCCGCGGCGGAGGCAGCGGCAACGGGCGGCGGCCATAGGGGCAGTGGCGGCGACGGCAGCGAAGGCAGCGACCGCGGCGGTGGCGGCGGCGGCGGTGGCGGCAGCTGCGCCGGCTGCGCCGGCGGCGCCGCCGGAGGCTGCCGCCGCGGCGGCAGGGCGCTGGACCCCGTCGCTCTGCGCCAACCTGCCGGTGGACGCCTGGCGCAGCGTGCTGCTGTTCGCAGGAGCGGCCGCGGCGAGGGCCCGGGGGGCAGGCGGGGGTATACAGATGCACTCCTCGGGCCGCCCAGGCCGGAGCTATCCCGGACCGCAGTGATCCCAGAGGATTATCGGAGGTGGACAGACCGCCTACCCTGACACGTCGATTGAGGAATTGGCCGTTTCCGGTTCGCGAGAGGGCGTCGCGGCCGTCATTTTTGCGGGTCCAGGTCCGTCGATTTCGGCCCTGGGTCGTTTTCACTAAGGGGAGGTTTATTAAAGGGAGGTTCGTCCACCGTCGGAACTAGTTCGGGCGCCCAAGACTCCCGAATCATTGGAGGCAGGGGCAGTCAGGGGTAGCTACGGGTTCGTGCCTCGGGGGCCCAAGCCGGAGTTACGCCGGACCGCATCTATCCTGGATAATTCGGGCGCCCAACTCGAGTTTGCCAGAACTCGGGTTTGCCGACGCTTTTCGACGTGCCCGTCTTGAGTTTCGGAGGTCCTGTTGTAATAGGACGTTTGTAGCGGGAGTTTGCGACAAGTTTCATATTGGGTCTCGCCATTTTCCTGGTGGCCCCGTCAGGCCGAACCCGAGTCTCACGTCTCCCCGAATGGAGGAGAAGGATGAGGAGAAAGTCAAGGACAAGGAGGTTGAGGTTGAGGAGTTGGAAGTTGAGGCGGAGGAAGTCGATTTTCGTTTCTTGGGGCTTCAGGGGGGAGGGCGGTGCAGGATGAAGAGAGGAGGATGAGGACAAATACAAGGAGAATGAGGTGGAGGAGGCGGATGTTGAGGTCGAGGAGGCGGAGGCGGTGGTGGAGCTGAAGGAGGACAAGGGGGAAGTGAAGGGGGAGTAGCAGGTGCAGAAGGAGGGGGAGATGTTTTAGTCGCTTTGTGTGTTCGTTCTGATGTCTCTTGGGGCTTCAAGGGGGATCGGGGGCGCACGATGAAAAAACGGAGGAAAATAAGAAAGAGGATGAGGATGAGGAGGTGGAAGGTCAGAGAAGGACGCGGATGAGGAGGGAGATCTTCCTCCTTTTCCTATTCCTCCTCATCCATGCGTTTCAGCAAAAGCGGGCCTGCGGGAGGGCGATTCCTGAGACTTCGGTTTCCTGCCCAGGCTTGGGCGGAGGCGCGACGGGCGCGCGGCCGCCATCGCCGTCGCCCGCCTGACACAGGCATGTGCGGAGGCGCCGCGCAAGCGCGCGGGCCACTCGCCGCGAGGCGCTCGCCAGCCGCCTGCATCACGGGGGACCCGCACTGTGACGAGAAGGCCTGGGCGTGTAGGTCACCCAGACAATTTGGATACAAGACGAACTACCGATCGAGACGGGCGTGCTGGGCATGCGGGAAAGGGATGGCTTGAAGAACACCTCGGAGGTGCACCCGTCCCCCGTTGTCTCGGACCTGTGGCCCGAGATGCGCTCCATGAATCAGCAGGGCCCGTGCGACACCTGGGCCTGCATTCCCTATTCGGACTGCGTCATCCCGGAGCATGGCTGGCACTGACTGGCGGGCTGCAGTCCGCCGGCCCCCAGACCGACAGCCGGGCCAAGGCGGCCGCTGGCCGACAGCCGTCAGCAGCGGGGGCCAGCGGCCCGCGGCACACAGCCGCGAGCCTCTGGACGAACTGTGCCTGCGCGCTCGTCAAGACAGGCGCGGTGAAACTCCAGGTACAGTGAGCGGCTTGAGTAAGGAACACTTGCTTTTCAAGAGGGGCTCGGTTGTTCCTTGAGGCCTGCATGCGTTACGTATCCTTCCGTATGCGTTTTCTATTCTTTATCGTTCCTTATGCCTCTTTCCTTGGAAAACAGGGGCTTCGTTCCTTCTTTGTCGTTCCTTAGGTCAACGCCCCGGACTGTATGCACATGGTCACAGCTGTGCTGTTGCCCCCAGGCGCCGATGCGACCAGCCGCGCCTCCCGGCGCCCAGCGCGCGGAGGAGCGCCGAGGGCGGACGACTGTGCCAGAAAGGGGCTGCGCAGAGATACGGGGAACTGATAGGTCCAGAAGACGCGATCATCAGGAGGGGAAAAACCACACAGACACAATTCATCGTCGACTCCCAGGAAAATAGGAGAAAATATGGGAAGGGGAGGGGGGGAAACAGAAACCCCGAAAACATTGGGAACTATGGGGAATCCTGCTGTTTGTGTGTGTATTTATTTGTGTGTCATTGGGCCCCTCCAGGCCAGTGTTGCGGCTCGAGCGCACGCCAGGCGCGATCTGCGCTGGGCCCCCCACGAGCAGCGCCCTGTCCTCGGCCGTCGGGCAGCATCGGCCGGTTGACGCCACAGCGGGGCAAGGAACTGGACCTTGAGCTCTCCCTCAAGCAGTGACGAACCGTCCTGGCTCGCCTATAGCCCTACCGAACAATGTTCTACGAACCTTTTGTGGCTTCCACGGAGTGTTCTTAGAACATTTCTGGCTGGGGCTGTATTGTTTTAGCACATCGGGTGTATGTTCTAAGAATACTGTTTTTGTTACTCGAATATTTTTGGGTTCTGAGAACATTTCGTTGTAGGACTATAGGAATGCTGGGACGGTCGGCCCCTGCAAAAATCATGATGGTCCACGAGACCCTGGTCATGGTCAGCTCATCCCAGGTACTAGTTGACTACAGACGAGCCGACAGGACTCCCCAGGGTTCACGACGTACTGTTCGAGTTGACGTTCTTCGGCTCTGGGCAAGGTGTGCCGAACGTCCACTGCGCAGTCCTCGTGGTGAATGCTCGGGCAACTCATTGCGGGTTGTCCTCTGTGGCCGAAGTGCGGCGGAGGAACATTGTCCATTGCCTGGCAGCCCCTGTTCGAATAGGAGCATGCACGCGCCCTCCGCCATTCTGGCATACACGTCGGTCGTTGAAAGTGGGTATTTTTGGGCTCCCAGGTCCTAATCTATTTCAAGCGCCTTCGTACTTCAACAACCGATATGATTTGCTTAGTGTTTTGTTATTTCTGGGAGGGCCTGGGCCCAATCCACTTGATCCGTTTTCCGGCTTCATGTGTTTTCGTGTCTTTTGTCCGACCAGCGTGCACAGCGGGCGCGCTGTATACCATGCGTTGAAGGGAAGAGGGCTCGCGCTCTGCTCTCTCTCTCTCTCTCTCTTTCCCCCCTTCCTGTTATCATTGTTGCCATATCTCTCTCTTACCCTTTCACCCCTGACGCCAGCAATTCCAGCCTCTCGTCATCCTCCCTCCTCCTAGGATCCGGCGTCGCAAACATAGATCAAAGGGGCGTGGATCAGCGACGGGTCCCGTTTCTGTGGGAAACCGCGGATTCCCGCTGCTCAGCGAGGCGGCACCGGCCGCATTTTGGGGAGGGCACCTCCCCCGATCCATGGATTTGGCGACCGCGCGCCACATCAATGGACCGCGAATCCATGTTCGCGAGCTCCCGATTTCGAGGGGGGGCATGGGGCGAGAGAAGGGGGGCCGAGGAGCGGAGGCAGGGCCGAGGAGCGGAGGCAGGGCCGAGGAGCGAGAGGGGCGAGAGAAGGGGGCCGAGGAGCGAGAGAAGGGGGCGAGAGAGGAGGCAGGGCCGAGGGGCGAGAGAGGAGGCAGGGCCGAGGGGCGGGGGCCGAGGAGCGGAGGCAGGGCCGACAGCGGGGCGCGGCTCGCAGGCCCCGCGGGCGGCGTGCGCACGGCGCTCTGCTCGAGGCAGCTCCGGGAGCAGGCCCGCGGCGTTCGGATGAATCGCGGGGCGGGAGGGGCCCAGTGAGTGTGTGTGTATAATCATATCTAATTATATATTTTTATTTTTTATATATACACATACATACATACATACATACATACATACATACATACATGCATGCATGCATGCATGCATGCATGCATGCATGCATGCATGCATGCATGCATGCATACGTACGTACATACATACATACATACATACATACATACATACATACATACATACATACATACATACATACAACGGCGCACCGGGGCCCGAACACCCGGGGCCGCGACCTCCACCACAAATGGGGAGGTGCAGGCCCTTTGGGGGCCCCCAGAAGCCCCCCAAACGCCACGAGAAAGCGCCAAGAGAGCCCGAAGACGCTCCAAGAGGGACCCGGGACGCCCACAGGCCGCTCCAAGACGCCCAAGATGGCTTCCAGACGGCTTAAGAAGCCCTCAATACACCTCAAGAGGCCCTCAAGAGGCCAACCAAGAGAGCCCCAAGGGGCAAAAATAGCCCCATTCCCCTTCGCAAAACGTACATGTTTAGCATATTGATTGTTTTCGCTGTCGTACTGTCCTTGGCGACCTCAGAGACCCCCAAAACCAGCCCAAGACGGCCCAAGAGGCGCCCCAGAGGGCCCCAAGACGGCCCAAGAGGGCTCCAAGACGGTCCAAGAAGCGCCCCAGACGGCCCAAACGGGCTCCCAAAAGGGCCCAAGAGGATCCCAAGATGGGAAATTCACATGAAATTTCGAGCCCCCCGCTCCAAGAGGACCCCCCAGGGCAAGAAGCGTCCAAGAGGCCCCAAGAGGCCCAAAGGAGCAAAAATCGTCCCATTCCCTTTGGAAGACGTAAATCTTTGGCATGTTCGCTTGATTCGCCTTCACAGCGTCCAAGACGGCCCCAAAGGTTCCAGAAAAACACCCCAGAGGTCCCCAGGAGGTATCCAAGACATCCCAAGAAGCGCCCAAAACAGCCCAAGAGGCCACCAAGACCGCTCCCAGCGGGGGTCTGGGACAAAGGCTCCGAATTGATTTTGCCGCCCTTGCGCCAGAGAGGCCCCCAGGAAGTTCACGGGGGCCCCTCAGAGGTTTCCGGAGACCCCCAAGAGACCCCAAGACAATCCAAGAAGCCTCCAAGGCGCCCCAAAAGGCCTCCAGAACGCCCCCTGAGGGAGCCCCAAGGATTAAGAATCGCCAGATTCCTTAAGGGAAACGTATGTTTGTCGCATATTCGCCTGGTCCGCCTTCCCAGAGTCCAAGACGGCCCCAGAGGTCTTCGAACATCGCCCCAGAGGTCCCCAAGACCGCTCGAGGGCAGCTCAAGGGAAACCCGGATGCTCCCAAGCAAGATGCTCCCAGAGGCCCCCACGACGGCCCAAGAGGCCACCAAGACCGCTCCAAGAGGGGGTCCTCGAGGAGGGAATTCCAAGTGATTGTTCCGCCCCCAGGCTGAAGAGAGCCACCAGGGATGTTAGGACCCCCCCCAGAGGCTCCCAAGACGCTCCCAAGAGGCCCCCAAAAGGCTCCCGAGAGGCCCCCCTTATGAGGCCTTAAAGCGGCGACCAAGATGTCTCCGAAACACTAACATCCATGCGTTCGCGGGACATCCCCGCGCTCCCCGGGGACGGGACGACGTGCTTTTCCCAACCATCCTGTGGTGTTGGGTCCTCGTTTTGAAGAGACGGTCCCCGCGTCCCTCCTCCTTTTCCCCCTCCTCCCTACCGTCCGCATGCGTCCCGCACACCCAGTACAGCGCTTCGTGGCCCCATATACAGCGCTTCGTGGCCCCATAGGGAGCTCCAGTCCCAGTGCTACCGTCCGCATGCGTCCCGCACACCCAGTACAGCGCTTCGTGGCCCCATTGGGAGCCCCACCGAAGGTCCCAGTGCTACCGTCCGCATGCGTCCCGCACACCCAGTACAGCGTTTCGTGGCCCTCCTCCCACTCCTCCCTGCGTTTCACCCACCCAGTACAGCGCTTCGTGGCCCCATAGGGAGCCCCACCGAAGGTCACAGTGCTACCGTCCGCATGCGTCCCGCACACCCAGTACAGCGCTTCGTGGCCAAATAGGGAGTCCCACCTAAGGTCCCAGCGCTACCGTCCGCATGCGTCCCGCACACCCAGTACAGCGCTTCGTGGCCCCATAGGGAGCTCCACCGAAGGTCCCAGTGCTACCGTCTGCATGCGTCCCGCACACCCAGTACAGCGTTTCGAGTACAGCGTTTCGTGGCCCCATAGGGAGCCCCACCGAAAGTCCCAGTGCTACCGTCCGCATGCGTCCCGCACACCCAGTACAGCGCTTCGTGGCCCCATAGGGAGCCCCACCGAAGGTCCCAGTTCTACTGTCCGCATGCGTCCCGCACACCCAGTACAGCGTTTCGTGGCCCTCCTCCCACTCCTCCCTGCGTGTCACCCACCCAGTACAGCGTTTAGTGGCCCCATAGGGAGCTCCACCGATGGCCCCAGTGCCCCCGTCCGCATGCGCCCCGGAAGCCCAATTTGGCATTTTCACCCACCCAGTGCAGCGCTCCACCCAAGGCCCCAGTGCCACCGTCCGCATGCGCCCGGGAAATATAATTTGGCGTTTTCACCCGCGCAGTGCAGCGTTTCGTGGCCCCATAGGGAGCTCCACCGAAGCTCCCAGTGCGACCGTCCGCATGCGTCCTGGTAACGCAATTTGGCATTTTCACTCACTCAGTAGAGCGCTTCGTGGCCCCATAGGGAGCTCCACCGAAGCCCTCAGTGGGACCGTCCGCATGCGTCCCGGAAACCCAATTCGGCACACCACCCACACGGTACAGCGTTCCCCCCCGCCCAGTGCAGCGCTTCGTGGCCCCATAGGGAGCTTCACCGAAGCAGATATTCGCAATTACGGTACCCACAACTGCATATGGTTGGGACTCTCGCCAGAATGATTATTTTTTTTGGGGAAGGTATTTGTGTTTGTGTTTGTGTGTGTGTCTGTGCCTGTGTCTGTGTCTGTGTGTGTGCGTTTGTGTGTGTGTGTGTTTGTGTGTGCTGGTGTTTGCGCTTGTGTTTGTGTGTGTGTTCGAGATTATATTTCTCTTACTCTTCCTGCTGGCATTCGTGCCGCCGCCGCCGCCGCCGACGTCCTCGGCGGCGCCGCCGCCGCCGTCGCCCCCGCCGCCGCCGCCGCTGCCCCTGTCGTCGCCGTCGTCGCCGTCATCGACGTGGTCGTCGCTGTCGTCGTCGTCGTCGTGGTCGTCGTCGTCGCCGTCGTCGTCGTCGTGGTCGTCGTGGTGATGACCGGACAACATGAAAGGAGGCTCAAAAGGGGTTCAACACGGCTCAAGGGGTCTCCAGGAGCAATCCCAAAAGAGCTCTAAAAGGCAATAGTCGCTGATTGTCCTTAGGTTTTGATGGATGTTCGCGTTTCTGCCTTTTCGGCTTCCCGACGCTCCAAGATTGTCCCGGAGACCCCCGATTGCGCTTCAACACAAACTCAGAGGCCCCACGAGAGCGCCGAGATGGCCCCCCAGACGGCCCAACCGACCTCCAAGGCAGCCCAAGAGGGCCCCAAGAACGCCTTCCGTAGCCATTGTGGCTCAAGCCAGTCTGACTCAAGCTGGTCTGGGTCGAGCCGCGCGCGGCTCCACGGACAATGAGCCTTCAGGGGTCCCTGGCGCCGGTGGCGGCGAACCTGCCGAGGGGCTTGACCTGCAAAAACACCTTCCTGGATCATCCGTCGCCCTGGATCGACTACGTCACCGTGGGAGACCGCCCCAAGTCGGATCCCACCTCCAACGCCACATCGTCCGCAACGCTGGATGCCTCGGCGGCAGCAGACGGGGGAGGCCGTCCGGCGCAGGAGGAGGACGCCGAGCAGCAGTCTGACGGGAGCTCGGAGAAGGATGGGAACGACAGCCCGGATGGTTCGCGCAGATCCTCAAAGCCTCAGCCGATCGGCAGGTCACAGCGGCGTCGCATGCAGCGGAAGGCAAAGGCGATTCATTTCGGGGGGGCACAGAGCACCCATTCCGGTGCAGAGCACACTGCGGAGGACAGCTCGGACGTCACGCGAAGTGGCACCAGCACCAAGATCTCTCTGTGATTACCCTTGGGGCGGCGAGGGTCCCAGTAGACCGCGGCAGGCTCTCTGGCCAAGCGCCGGTTCAGGGGCGGCGGGAGGACTGGAGAGAAGAAGAGGAGTAGGAAGAGGAGGAGGAGGTGGAGGAGAGGGAGGAGGAGGAGGAGAGGGAGGAGGAGGAGGAGGAGGAGCCGCCCGGAGACACTCCTGCCGATCCTCGACGCCGTTTCCTTACAGAGTGGCAGCTGCATCCCATGCCCCGCTCGCCCGCTTCTTTTGCGCGTCTTCATCGTCGTCAGTGGTGGGGCCACCTGGAGGGCGTGATGAGCGTCTGGCGGTAATGTTTCAGCGATTCGGTACCTTTGTGGGGTCCTGGAAGTCTCTGTGGCGTCTTTCGGACCTCTTGGGCAGTGTGGCGTCCTAGAGGGAACCTCTGAAACCGTCTTGGGGTGAGCTCTGGTCCTTCTGGGGCTGTTGTGGAGCGTCCGCAGGCCGAAAAGGCGGAATCAAACAGAAACAACCAAAAACCAACGGGAAACCAGTCCATTTTGTGCCATCAGGCGTTTTTGGAGCGTCTGGGGGGCGTGGTGGGCCATCTGGAGGCGATGGCGACTCGGGGGCGAGTCGGGCTCTCTGGGTGGGTAGGGCCTGGAGTCTCCCTCGATGCCTGCGGAACTGCCCCAGACGGTCGAGAAGACGTCGGGAAGCCCAAATTGGGCAATTGATTAGGGAAAACATGTGTTTCCAGCAACCACGCGCTGGAGATCTGGACTGCATCTACAACGGCGCCCGAGGCGCTGCAGGGAGGCCAAAGTCTGCCCACGAAACCCCCAAGACGGCCCAAGACGAGCCCCGGAGGGCTACCCAGACGGCCTGGGCGGCCCTCCGGAAAAGGCCCGGAGCGTGCCTGGGTGAGGTCCTGAAGCCGTCCAGAACGCCCAAGAGATGTTCAACTCCCCCACAGAGCGCCCCATGGTTTTGCAATCTATGCTGTGCAATATCGAAGACGCCTACGGCGAATCACCGCCGCCCCATGCCTTTTTTGGAAGCGCCTGCGTGGCCGAAAGTTGGGCTTGAGCTTGGCCAAGCTATCGGGCCACGCGTTCCCCGAGTGGGTTTCGAAAGCTTTCGGGGAACACGGAGTCGGGCGAGCTATCGGACCACGTGGTTTCCGAGCGCCTGGAGGACGTCTGGGATGGCTCTTGGGCCGTCTTGGAGGCTTCTTGCGGGCTTTTTAGGCAGTCTAAGGCCATCTTGAGGCCATCTGGGGCCGTCTTGAGTGCATCTTGGGGCGATCTTCGCTGTCTTGGAGGCCTTCATGGCTGTCTTGGAGGCATCTTGGCGGCCATCTTGGGCGTCTTGGAGGCCATCTTGGGCGTCTTGGAGCCCTCTTGGGCCGTCTTGGGGGCCTCTTGGAGTCGTCTTGGGGGCCTCTAGGGCCGTCATGGGGCCATCTTGCAGGCCTCTTGGGCGATCTTGAGGCGATCTTGGGGACCTCTTGGACCGTCTTGGGCTGTCGGAAGGCCGAAAAGAAAGAAATGCCAAAATCCTTCAAAAACCATATGAAAACCAATGAATCTGACCTCTGCGGGCCCTCGTGGAGGACCTCTTGGAGGCCTCGCTGGCCGTCTTGGAGGCATCTTGGACCCTCTTGGACCGTCTTGGAAGCCATCTTCGACCATCTTAGGCGGACTTGGAAGCCATCTTGGGCCATCTTGCCCGTCTTGGAGGCATCTTGGAGTCCATGTGCGGCCATCTTGGTCATGAAAGGCATTGACATGTGCAGTTTGTGGTGGTCTCTTCGGGTGGCCGGCGGGACGGGCCGAAGCTCCAGAGGGAGTTCTTTGGAAAAGAACCAAAACCAAAATCGAACGGGTCTAGCACGCCGGGCACCCCTGTGGCAAGCCAACAGGCGGCGGCGGATCTGATGGCCTTCGGCCCATCCCGCCACCGTGCTGGGTTGTGGGTCAGAGCCCTCGCGGATGCTTCCCGGGGTCTCTCTAGAGCCTATGTATTGCCACAGGCTCCTTGGCAGCGATGGAGGTTTATATATTTAATATATAATATATTATATATATATTATATATATATATATATTATATATAACTACACAAGTTTAGGGGCCAGGCCGCCATGAGTGTGCCTGCGCCCTCCATGGGGGGTCCGGGGCCCACTTTCCATGTGTTTTTACAGGGTTTCAGCGTTCCAGGGCCTCCGAGCTCGCCAGGAGTGTGCCTGCGCTCTCCATGGGCGGTCCGGGGCTTACTTTCCCTGTGTTTTTACACGGTTTCGGCGTTCCAGGGCCTCCGAGCCGACGACGCCCCCAAGACGCCCCAAGACCGCCGAAGAGGCCCCCGAAAGAGCCCCAAGACGGCCCCAGGGAGCCCGAAAATTGCCCGGGACGAGCATCAGACGGCCCAAGAGAGCCCCAGGACAGGCCCAAGCTGGGCCCCAGAGCGGGAGCGGGAGGCCCCAAGGCGCTCCAGGACGGCCCTGATGGCCCCAATGTGGCCCCAGATGGGCCCAACACGGCCAATACACAGCCCAAGAGTCCTCCAAGGAGAGCTCCGAGAGGCGTCCCGAGAGAGCTCGACGAGGCCCATATCCTTGATTTCTTTGTTCAAATGTTTTTCGCTTTCTCGCGTTCTCGAGCTTCCAACGCTCGAAGACGGCCGAATACGCCCCGAAGAACGCCCCAAGACCGCTGAAGAGGCCTCGAGAAGAACCTCAAGACGGCCCAGGAGAGCCTGAAGACTGGCCAAGAGCAGCCAAGACTGCCCAAGAGAGGGGGATTTAGTCTCTTTGCATCAATCATCCACGCGGCAACCCGTGTACGAGAGGAGATCGTCACTCTGCAGCCCTCCTTCACGCGGCATTCAGAGAGAGAGAGAGAGAGAGAGACAAAAAAAAAACGTCTTCTTTACACTGCGCAGTTCTCCTCCACGCGACAAAAATGTGCACGAGGGGGATTATGTCTCTTTGCGTCCCTCCTCCACGCGGCAATCCGTGCACAAGAGCAATATCGTCTTTCTGCAGCCCTCCTTCACGCGGCATTCAGCGTGCGAGAGGCTTTGTTTCACTGCGCAGTCCTCCTCCACGCGACACAAAGGCGTACGAGGAGGATTTTGTGTTTCTGCATCCCTCCTCCACGCGGCAATTTTGAACGATCTTTGAGGCCCATCTTTGGGCTCCTGGGGGCCTTCTTGGAACCTTCTGGGGCCATCCTTGACGCTCGACCGGCCCGCCATACGCCCTCGTCCAGGGGGAGGGTGTAGGGGTAGGCGGCAGGGGAAGGTCCCCGCCCCGAAAGGAACGAGGGGGTTCGCAGAACGAGCTTCCTTGACGTCTCACGCCCGCGAGGGCCGTTGGGACTCTGTTTCGTCATCCCTTCTCGTCCGGTTGACTCGGCGGGTCCCACCTCGGCCTCATTCTCCGTCGTCTCGGGCGTCTTCCCCATTGCTTATGGTGTTGGTGATGCCGCGGCTGATGTTGCTCGGGGCCTTCGGTTCCCTGGTTGTCTAAAGCAGACTGCCGCTCACATGAGCATCATGCCACCCTGCTGTCCAGCAGCACAATCCGGCATTCAGACGTTGCCCGGGTCTGAGGTTGAACCTGAGCGCGCGCGAAGCGCGCGCGATGGTTCTAGTATATATATATATGTATCATGGGAATACAGACGACCCTAGATGACCCCAAGAGCACTCGATCGACGGCCCCAAGAAACAACATTCATCGTTTGTTCATCGGTTTTTGACGAAGTGTTACGTTTCACGACGGCCCCAGAGGCCCCCAGATCCCCCTGTGGCGATCCAAGGAATATCTTTGTGGACTCGCAGAGAAGCTTCCTATGCAGCTGCCCGGATGTCAGACTGGCCCAGTTGCAGCCACACGTTTTGGCACGATGCAGGTTTTCGGATCATCGCCGGCGATATTGCTCAGTTGACCGCCGTCCTGCTCGGATCCGCAGCAGGTTTATATCAAGATGTCCTTTGCGCCCGCGTATTCGGGTCGGCGCGCCCGGTGCGAGGCACGAGGCCCCCCGTGTTTCGCAGCACGGTGGCGGATATAGCAGCTGGACCTTGCAGCAGCTGCCTTCGGATCGGGCAGGATTGCCTCCTGCCGCGGAGAGCTACGCTGCAGAATTGGGTCCCATCGCCTTACAAGTGCGTACGAGCCGCATACATAGACATACACATGCTTCATTTCGAATTCCTCGAGGTCTCTGATTTTTTGGGGGGCCAAGATCCTGTCTCTTCTAGTTGTTCTATCCTGGGCCTCCTACTGGCCACTAGGGGGCCACAAACAATTAGAAACAAGCACACTTAGAAATGAGCACGACTAGACATGAACGACGTGTACATACACATACACGACAGGGTGAAATCCGAGCTCCTGCAGGAATTCGACAGCGACCTCCGCAAGCCCAGTGCCATGTCTCAGAGCACGTCTTTTTTGGGGCGACCCAGATGCCCTAATGGCCTGGTTGCAGCCACACGCTTTGGCACGATGCAGGTTTTCGGATCATCGCCGGCGATATTGCTCAGTTGACTGCCATCCCGTTTGGATTCATGCTGCAGGTGCAGAACCCCAGGGCTCCAAAATGACTCAGGAAGTGCCTTCCTGCGGTCCTTTCGAGAACATCTTGGGCCTCTCCACCGCGGCTTGGGAGCGCTCCAAGAGGGCTTCAATAGCTGTGAGAGTGAAGTCACGCGAGAGAGCGCGCGCGTGACTTGCCCATCACTGCTCCCGAGGGCCCTCTGGAGCCCTCTTCGGGTCTTTATGGAGCTGTCCCGAGATCCTCTTAGGGCCCTGCAGCGCGGCTTCGGAGGCCGAGGGTTCCCAGGGGGCTCCAATAACGTAGCAGTGCAAGCCACGTCATGCGAGAGAGCGCTCGCGTGACGATGACGACGATGATTGTTATGAGTATGGTGGTGGTGATGATGATGACGACGAAGATTATGTTGGTGCTGATGGTGTTGGTCATGATGATGAGGGTGGTGATGATGATTATGTTTATGATGGTGGATGTGATGCTGATGATGATGGTGATGGTGATGGTGATGATGACGATGGAGCTCAAGTTTTTATACTCGAACACATAACGCGCGTTATGTGGCCTCCAACCCACCCACCCACCCAGTAGATAACATAACGCCCGCCGCCCCACCCACCCCCGTTGCAGCAGCGCGTGTTGTTTAGCGCACAGGTATGCTGTTCGTAGTGCGCGCGCAACGTGTTTGCAGCGTGCGCAGGCATTTGCTTGTGGTATGTAGAGGCGCGTGGCGCGCGCAGGCTGATGTGGCACCCACGCAGGCGCGGCGGCACACCCAGCAGTGGAAACAACGAGCAGTTCGGCGTGCATAGCGCACACGCCGGCTGCGGCGGCAATTGTGGTGCACACAGGCGCGGTGGTGTCCAGCATTGTCGTACGCAAAGATAATTACTGTTGTCCGCGCAGGCAACGGGGGTATGGGGCCGTGCCCTGGAGGTGTACACGGGCTTTGTGGTGTACGCAGGCGCAGCGATGTACATGTTGGATGTGTATACAGGCACAGGGGTGCATTCGTACCGACGTTAGTAGCGGGGAGGGTCGTCCAGAAGAAAATATAAACCCAGCCAGACAGTCCACGGGCTTTCTAACACGGCATTGCTGTGCAGGCGCGGCGGCGGATTACATTCCAGCTGTCGTGCAGACTCGGCGGCGACCTCGGGGGGGGGGGGAAGTTTGTCCGCCCGCGTAGTGTCGATTGGGGCCGTTCTGGCGCGAGCCGCCCGTCGGGAACGCCCGACGCGGTCCTACCAGGCGGGCGGCTGCTCAGTAGCGTCTCTTCTTTGGAGACGGTCACCAGCGTCTTCGGGCCCGCCCGCGCTCCATAGAAAAAGGGCGAGGAGGGCGAGGGGTAGGCGGAGGAGGAGAAGAAAGCAGACGGCGAGGAGGAGGAGGAGGGAGTTGCATTGCATTGGGAACCAGCATCACTGGCATGGGGGGAATTATCCTTCCGGCGCGCGTGTGGTACAGGCACCGTGCTCGCATGCGTCAGCAATCACGGTTGACGGTAAATTGAGTAATGGCTGGCGTTGCTTCGTTCAAAGCCTTCCTGAGGTGATGCGGATTCATCTCGCTCTCAGCCCTTCGTTCCGGGAGTGTGGACAGGCAGAGACGGGGAGGCGGGAAGAGGAGGCCTAGAAGGAAGGAGGAAGGAGAGGCCTCACCTACAGCCTCAACCAACTGCACTGGCCATCACACCTGCACGATGTAAGTATGTCCTGCACGATGTACGTATGTCCATGTAATTTAGGCACCCTCGGGCCCTCCAAACCTCCGGAGATCCCCGCGGACCTCCGGGCTCTCTTGAACCCCCCCAAAAAAAAACTGGCCCCAACAAGGCCCTAAGAGGGACCAGTGGGGGCCCAAAAAAGTTCCGAGAGGATCCCAAGAAGGCCCCAAGAGGACCCCAAGAGAGCTCCGAGAAGGCGTCTGACGGTGCGCAATTGCACACCATATTTGAGGTCTGACGGTGCGCAATTGCACACCATATTTGAGGCCCTCTTCGAACGCTCTTGGGGCCCCTTTAAGCCCCCTTGAGGCACCAAGAGGCTCCCAGGAGGCTCCGAGATGGCTCCGGGAGGGCACCAAGACGGCTCCAAGACGACCCCTGGAGATGTGCAGCGGCCATTGCACATTTCCAGGGCCGACGCACGTCGACGCACGTCGACTGGGATCTCGATGTTCGGATATTTATTTCCAGGAGGTCAAGGTCACAGGGACGTGGGCAGACAAGGCGCAGCCCGGAGGCTTCCACTTCAACTTTCGCGGCGCGCGCGACAACAAGCCGAAGAGGGTGAACTTCGGGCCGGTGGAGCTTAAAATCGTCCACTGTCACACTGGCGAGGGGCAGCAGTATTTGAACGTATTCCTTAAGAACCTTCGGCGTGCTGGGTTTCATATCGGAGGGCTGCGGGGTGAGGATGATTACACGGAGGCTGCGACGCTCGAGGCAGGGTGCCAGAAGATGATATCCCTATCGGCGGGTCCGGATGGTCAAGCTCCGCATCGACAGGGCTCCTCCGCAATCGGCTATTGAGCCCGCGTGCCCTGCCGTGGTGCAGGATTATACATATAACGGGGGACTGGGTCCGAGGGCCGGGGGCCGGCGCCTCGACCGCAAACCGCAAATGTGGGGTCCGGGCGTCATTTTCTTTGTTCACACACACACACAAACACACACACACACACAAACACACACACACACACACCAAGATAGCACCAACACGGCAATGAATGCCCCCAGAGTCCCCACAATTCTTCAATTATCTCCTTTCTTTTCGTGGCATTGCGCCTCCGCTGCCTTCTCATCATCGCCATTTGGTGTAGTGAGTTAGCGCGTAACTTTGCTGCGCGAGTTGTGATGGCAGAGCGGCATGCACCCGCAAATAGCAGGGGGCATGATTCCCGCTCGCACTGCAGACAGTGTGCCGTGACGGCGGTCCGTGGCAGCCGACCCAGGGAGTGTAGGCTTGCAGAAGTGTGAGGCGACAGTTGGATACACCCGCATACAGCAGGGGGGCCCATTGCCGCTCGCACCGCAGACTTTGTCTGCTGCGTGTTGCTCCAACTCCAACCGAAATAATAGCACCTAAGACGTATATATCCATACATCCCATCTTCTGGAGTGAGCAAGTACCTTCATCAACATCCACAACTCCGCGTTTACATCCTCAACGCGCGTTTGGCGCAGCTCGCGGTTGGCACGCATTTGGCGCGTCGACTGCTTCGCCGTCTGGTAACTGATTTGCTCCCTGGTTGCCAGACAGTGCGGCAACAAAAACAAAAGACAAAACAAGACAACAACAAGTGAAATGCTTGTTTTCACGTGCCCAGGTCTTGAGGATGTCTCGAGCGAGACGCTTGGTTTTCACGCCTCCAGGTTGCCCAGTTAGATGTCTAGCATGAGGATTTGTTGAGGATGTCTCGAACCAGAGGCTAGTTTTCACGTGTCCAGGTCGCCCAGGCGGATGTCTAACATGAGGATGTGTCGAGGAAGTCTCGATCGAGACGCTTGTTTGCACGTGTCCAGGTTGCCCAGGCGGATGTCTAGCATGAGGATGTGTTGAAAACGTCTTGAGCGAAACGCGTGTTTTCACGTGTCCAGGTCGCCCAGGCACAGCACAGCCCTCGGCACGGTACATCAATATCGATACCCTTAGCATTGCAGCCTGGCATGTTGCCTGGCACGTTCCGCGGAGCGTCCCGTGGCGAGTCCCCCTGGCACATCGCGCGGTGCACATCCATTGGCACGTTCCGTAGCGCGTCCCCTTGGCACGTCCCGCGGTTCGTGCCCATGGCACGTCCCCTGGCACGTCGCCTGGCGCGTCCCTTGGGACGTTCCGCGGCGCGTCCTCCTGGCATGTCCCCCTGTCGATTAGTTCTGGAACAGCTACCATCTGCTCAGGCAGCTCGAGCTTAAGATCCAGATCAGTTCGGTCAGGACTCGGATGCAAAGAGGACTCGATTCACAACGCTATGTAGAGCACGATCGCGGCATGGCACATCGCAGTTCAGCACGGCCTAGCACAGCACAGCCGTCGGCCATTGCACATCTCTGGGGGCCTCTTGGGACCCTCTCGGGGCCCTCTTGGGGCCTTCTTGGGCCCCTCCCAGACGGCCCACGAAGCCCGCGGGGGGCTCAAGAGGGTTCCAAGATGGCCTCAAAAGGGCCTCGAACGGGCCCCAATATGGCCCCAAGACAACCCTTGAGATGTGCAACGGCCGTTGCACATCTCTGGGGGCCTCTTGGAACCCTCTCGCGGCCCTCTTGGGGCCTACTTGGGCCCCTCCCAGACGGCTCAGGAAGCCCGCAGGGGGCTCAAGAGAGCTCCAAGATGGCCCCAAGAGCGCCCCGAACGGGCCCCGCAACGACCCCTGAGATGTGCAACGGCCGTTGCACATCTCTGGGGGCCTCCTGGGACCCTCTCGGGGCCCTCTGGAGGCCTTCTTGGGCTCCTTCCAGACGGCGCAGGGGGCTCATCAGGGCCCAAGACGGCCCCAAGAGGGCCCCGAGCGGGCCCCAAGACGGCCCCACAATGACCCCTGAGATGTGTAACGGCCGTTGCACATCTCAGGGGGCCGCTTGAGGCCCTCCTGGGGCCCTCCTGATACGCCGGAAACGTATCATGTAGGAGCGTGCCTTGCATGGCGGAGACGAAATCAATCGAACCACGATTATGGAAATACTGTTGGGGCGTGCCTTGCATGGCGGAGACGAAATCAATCGAACCACGATTA